AGAACAGAATAAAATTCAACAATGAATTCAAAGGAGCTGGTAGGTCAACCGAAGATCAAAATAATAACAATGTCAAAAAAGGGGAACATGTAGGAACTGAGATCCAGTTGGTGAGGAGGTCAGGTTAGATTACAGGATACACTAGATTGTTTTAAATGAAGGGAAAAGTTAATAGACTATAAGGTAACCCCATAGAAAGTTAATACTTCACAACTTCCATGAAAATGAACTTCCAAGCAGAACAAGCAAGCATGAAAACTAAGAAGAAACCAACAAGAAATAGCACAAAAAGACAAACTCAGCACAAGAAGATATGCAGAACAAAAGCACCACCAAAAAATTAACATAATGGTAGCAATTAATTCATACCTATCGTAATTACATTGAATGTCAATGGATTAAATGCACCAGTGAAGAGAGAGAGAGTGGCAGAATGGATAAGAAAACAAGACCCTCCAATATGCTGCCTGCAAGAGACACATCCTATACACAAAGACAAAAACAGACTAAAAGTTAAAGGAAGGAAAAATATACCAAGCTAACAGCAACAATAAACAAGCAGGAGTGACAATACTAATCTCTGATAAAGTAAACTTTAAGACAAAAGCCACCATAAGAGAAAAAGAGGCACACTATCTCATGATCAAAGGGTCAATTGAGCAAGATGACATAACAATAATAAATATTTATACTCCCAGTGAAAAAGCACCAAGATATATGAAGCAAACCTTACTAGAACCTCAGGGTCAGCAGTTCAAAACTACCAGCTCTTCCACGGGAGAAAAATGAGGCTTTCTGCTCCCATAAAGATTTATAGCCTCGGAAACCCTGTACAGGGTCACTATGATTGAAACCGATTCCACGGCACATAACAACAACGTATGAATTTGAAAGTATCCAATTTCGAAATAAAATTTTTTGCACACAAATCAAGTATTTTGCTATTTATGTGGCAAAGTACAGATCTTTCAGAAATTGTTAGGCAATGCAACTAAGAAAAATTATCTTCTTTGAAATCTTCTTAAATCTATTTCCAAAATATTATGTTCATCATAGAAATTTTAGAAAATAAATGACAAGAAAAAATACCCCACTGGTAACAGTTCATGCATGAAAACTTTCAACTAATGTCATATATCCAGAAAATGACATTGAAAATGTTTATAGTGACAAGTGTAGTACATTATTCCTCACAGCCTACACATTTAGGCATTTGGTTAAGTTCACAGAGTCATTTACTAATCATCTTTGTTCCTAGCATCAATTAATTGCTATTGATTTCCACTCAGGACTATCATTCTTCAGAGTAGATTTTCAATGGGTGATTTTTCAAAAGTAAATCATAAGGCCTTTCTTCTGAGGCACCTTCGGGTGCACTAGAATCACCAACTTTTCAATTAGCATTTGGTTAACTGGGATTCTATTCAAGGCAAATATTGTTCTGTAGTATTTCAACAGTAAACTCTGAACCCGCTGCCATTGATTCTGATTCACAGCAACCTTACACAGGGGTTTCCAAGACTGTCAATCTTTACTGAGTAGCCAGCACCATCTTTCTCTCATAGAGCCTGACGGGTTTGAATCGATGACCTTGTGGTATGCAGTCCAGTGCTTATCCTTCAGCACCACCAGGGATCCTTTTGGATTTCAGTAGTAATTTCTTTAAATGATTTGCTACTGGAAAGCTGTTTCCTATTTCTTTCTGAAATTAGCTGGAATGATTATCGTGTATTAAATAAAACCCAAATGAAATAAGCAAATACCTTTACGTGGAACATCTTTCTAGCATGTGACTTCAGAGAAATATTTTAAATGTCCTCTGTTCCTCACACAATCAAGCACATATGTAAATGTTTTCCATTTTGATGAAATTTTTTTTTCTGAATTCTATTTTTTTCTGCAGATACACTGTAGCATATGCTTGTAATACATACTATGAACATGAAGTAGATTAAGTTTCATAAACACAGTGTTTTACACATTGGGTTCATTAAACACATTTTCTAATGACTGCATATAACCTAAATTGCATCAACTTAATGAGTAAATAAATTGTGGTCCATTCATTGATACAATGGAATAACGGTAGCAATTAACACCTAACTTCCTCTTTGGTGCTCCACTGGCTCCAGATAGCCTGTGTGGTTGTTGGCTCCATGTCTCTGTTCTCATACCAAGTACAGTGACCCTTATAATCATGGGCATCGGGGCCCAGGTCCTTGGGTCTGGAGGTGCTCATTTGGATCATGAAGGCCCATGTGTTGAGGGGAGTTGCCAGGGAGGTAGAAGGGATTGGAATGGTTTTTGCTAATGGATTAAATTTTTTTTTAAAGTATATATTGAGAATTATAGGAGACAGACTTCTGAGTCAGAGAAACAAGGTAGACACAGAAAATAAGCTAAAATAAACTCTGTGGAACAAAACAATTAGAGGTATCAATATGCGCTCATTGGGTTTTTTTCTAAACTTTATTATAAATTGGGTTGCTTACATAGCAGATCATCCATTTTACATCCAACAATTCACAACGCATTTTCTCTTTATGACTGTAATCCCCTCAATGTAACATTACTTACCCAACTGTGTTGCCATTCCTCATCCTTTCCTAATCCTTCTGAACTTTGTCCTTGGGTAAATGCTACCTTTTTTATTTCAAATGGTGACTAAAGTGTGCATACCTCACTAGTGTTATTGTTTGGCTGAAAATTGAGTTGTGAGGTGAGTTCACTTCCAGACCTGAAGAGTAAGCCTGGACTTTTCAATGTGATACCTTTCAGCAGTTAGAAGACATGCACCATTTATTTCTTCTGGTCTCAGAGTCATACAGACTGAAGTTCATATGGTCCTTTAGTCCACTGGATTGTTTCCATGTGACTTCAATTTTAGTCACTCCTCTTTCCTCCAGACAGGGAGAGACCAATAAGTGGCCACTCACAAGGTTTTCACACCTCAGCAGCACTTGTCAAAGCACAGTTTGTGAACTGTGCTGTGCCAATTGATCCTGATGTCCACCCAAGACAATGGTCTTGAACTCCAAGACCCAGCAACTTAGGTTAGATTTCATATATGTACAAGGGGTTTTCAGTTTGTAGAAAATTCCATTTTGAAGCCCCCCCGTATAATTGATTCTGAGTCATGGTAACACTATACATACAGATTCTCAAAAATGTCTCAAGAATATGAAAGACAAACAAGATCAATGTTCCAGACTAAAATTAAAACAACATAACCTATATAAGGATTAATCCTGAATTGCATTTTAAACCTATTACGAATATTAAGGACACTCAGTGTGGCACTGTAGGATAAGCACTAGACTGGAAACCATAAGGTCAGTGGTTCAAACCACCAGCTGCTCCTTGAAAACCCTATACAAGAGGTTGTTATGAGTCAGAACTGGGAACTCACTCAACAGCACTAACAAAAGTATTATTGGACATCTGGTTATATTTGAATGGGGCCCTGTAGAGTATATGATAGTATTGTATCACACTAATTTCTTGATTTTCAATGCTGAGTCAGAACCGACTCGCTGGTATTTAGCAACAAACAACAAATTAAGAAGCCCTGGTGGTACTAACTGCAATGTTGGCAGTTCAAATCCACCAGTCATTTTGCAACAGAAATATGAGGCTTACTGGGGACTATGATGGAAAAACATGGGCATTTTTATGCTATTCTGGCAACTTCTCTGTAAAAGTAAAAATTTGAATATTAAAAATGCAGAAAACATAACAGTATGATGTCTTTGTAAACATTGGTGGGCAAGAGTGTGACCACATATACATGTATATATTCTTACACATGGGGAAGCACAGTGACTCCAAAATTGAAACACTGGATCACGAACCACAAGGCCAGAGCCACTCCCCTCAGAAGAACAATGATACTTTGTACTTTTGCCAAGATTTATGCCACAGAAACCCTATAATGGGTCGCTGTGAGTTAGAACCAACTTAACAGCACATAATACTATTACTACATATGCAAAATGCCTGTAGAACCTTATAAAAGGAACTGATAAATATATTGGTTTTTCTATACAGATGAAGGTTGAGAAGGTAGTTTTTTATTCTTTGAAACTTGACTGTTGTACTATGTAAAATGTAATAATTTTAAAACACACTGAATTCTGCAATATAGTGACAAATGCAAGTGCTACCCTTGCTACCTTACATTTAAAAACTGATTTTGTTGTTAAGTGCTATCAAGTCAGTTCAAACTCATAGCGACCCTGTATAGGGTTTGCAAGGAATAACTAGTGGGTTTGAGCTGCCAACCTTGCAATGAGCAGTCCAGTCCAGGATAAGCACTGGACTACTAAACTCCTGGTCAGCGGTTGAAACCCACAAGCCACTCCTCAGAAGCCCTGCACAACAGGGTCACTATGAGTCAGAACCAACTTGATGACACTTAACAACGAACATATAACTGTATTCTTTTATGTTTCAGTTATTAAACAAAAAATGTAACCTCTAAAAATCAAAGGTGCAAAAGAACAATTAGTTTAGAAATTTGGTCTTACATCTAAAAACAGAAATAAATAATAAGTATTCTCATGCCAGCTGTATGTTTTTATTATTATCCATGAAAGGTGAAAAGACTCACAAGGTCTGTTGTTAGTATAACCATACATATGAAATGTCATGTAGCAACATGGAGTGAAAAGGACAGTTATACATAGTTTTAAAAGACATACAACATATACATACATTCTTGGCTCACTGCTACAAAAGTAGGATGCATCAAGCTTCAGAAGTTCCAATATATATAACATCTTAAGCATAAAAACTGCACTTAAGTTGCAAAAATAAAGTTTTTCTTTAAACATTTTGATCTGAGCTCAAGCAAAGCAATAATGAACACCATTGATTTTCAAACTTAACACACTTTTAAACAATCAACAGAAACAGTCAACAGTTGCAAAAACTCTGAAAATATAATGAGGTTATGGGCATGAACCGTATATTTCATTTACCCCACCCTTTCTCCCCACAAAAAAAGTCTACAGCAGAACCATTTCATTTTGGCTCTCAAGTATTTAAGAATCGTAAATTATTTTACTCAAACAGCACGTTAAGTCAGAACAAATAAAATGTTAAACAGAAAAATTACTTCAAACAAGGCATCATTGCTCCTTAGTTTCTTTAGATAATGCCACTAGTGCAAGAGCATCATTTACCTGAAAGATCGTTAAGTGTCACAATTAAAGCACGCATACAAAACTATTCCTTTTTTTGGTTAAAAAGTGCCACATACTATACTTTTCATTAAAAAAAACACATACACACACACATAAACTAATGGAAGACAGTTTGTCTCCATCGCTTGTCAATGAGGAAAGGCCAGAGTGATTCTTTGATTCCAATTCGAAATGGTGTTCGCTGGCCAATGCCCAAGGTCTCTAATCTGGAGCAGTCAAGCTGAGCATTTCTTGGACGCTGGGCTCCTAAGACTGGACTGTCAGTGATCTTTAAAGAAAAAGAAAAATGGAGGGGGGAAATCAGAGGTAAATAATGGGCTATTTTTAAGGTTTTATATTCACACTTTTTCCTGAGCACAAGGACTCTGATTTGATCATACTTAGAAAAAGAAACAAAAAAAAAAAAACTGCCAAAATCAAGAAAATATCTTTCCTACTGACTTGAGTATTGATGGATTTCTTTATAGATAATAATTCAGAGAAAACCAGCAATACAAATGGCCAACATATTAGCAAGTTCATTCTAATGAGTAATGGAAGTGAAGTTATTTAACAAGCCCAAAGCAACAAGAAAAATTTTATCAACAGTACACACTGTTATGACAGAGCTGAGTTTTGAAAATGTGAGCTTTTGAATGCCATATACTTACAGGTCTCAAGTGGCTGCTGGGGAGATTGAAAACATCTGCAATTGCACATGCCATTTCATACTTAGTCATCTGCTCGTTGCCTGACCAGTGAAAGGTTCCTTTAATTGATGGATCCTAAGAACAAGGACACAAAAGAACCCAAACTAGTTTCAATTTGTCTGAGTTGAGTCGAATGGTAGGTTTGACAAGAAAATTAGTTACAAAGGTCTAGGAACTAAAAATTCAACCTCCTTTTCTGGAAAGTTCTTACTAAGCTATCTAAAATTAAATTACTATAAATATTCCCAGCTAAATACTAAAAGCAACACTTGAATTAATTTTAAGAATATTTTAAAGATAAAAATAAAAATGGCTCCAATGTTGTTTAATGGAAATCCTGGTATGGCACTGGACTGCAAGAGCAGTTTGAACCACAAGGTTGGTGGTTCAAAGTCACCAGCCATTCCCTGGGGACCCTAAGCAGGGTCGCTATGAGTAGAAACCAATTTGACGGCATTTAACAACAATATAGCTAGATATTTTTATGGGAAGAGTTCAATTTAACAAGTAGAATTAAAATTTAATAGAACCATTTTTCAAGATGACCTAGTCATAACAATCTCAAGTATGGCATACATTTTAAATATAAGTTTTTATATATTAAAAAATTGTGGTTATATTATTTTTAGTATTCTGAAAATAAGGCTCTAAACTTTCTATGGATATTTGCTTCATCTCTAATGCTTTCAAATGTTTAAGTCAAGTATCTTTTTTTTAAAAAAAAAAGAGTTTTTTAGAGTGATTAAAAATAAAAACTGCTTACATTCTTCTTTGGTATTATATATTTTTAACACTGAATTACTGTCTAGTATCTGTAAATTACTTTTGTCTACTCTCTGTGTAACTAGTTTTTAAAAAAACACCTTAACTTCCACTCAATTACACTTTAAGTTTAGCTGTGAAAGTTTAAGCATGGAAAAGACAACAGGATATTTACAAAGATGATTCTTGCTTTCAAAGATTCTCACCAGCATTCGCTTCTCTGCTAACTGACGACACACACAGGCTACATCCTTGACATGAGTAGGAAATCTCTGCTGCCAATGGTCCATGTTTGCTGACTTGTTGCTGAACTGCACTTTATCAAACATAATAGTCACAGCACTTTCTTCAAGTTTTTCGACTTCTCCATACAGAACAGGAATTCTCAAAACAGCAGCTCCTGGACATGAATAAAAGCAGATACTATTTAAAGCTAACATTAAATTTTAAGATAAAAACATGTGGCTTTAAACATCAAAGTAAAAAACTTGTATTTAATAAAAATATACTAAAATGCCACAGCTCACCTGTAATAATGCAACTTAACAAATGTGAAATCCTGAAAATTTTTAATGTCTTCTGTTATTTGGGATTTTTTTATACAGTCATACATATATAATTTCTAAATTATTATAGTCATTAAAAGTAAAATGAATCATGACAACTAAATACATTGAGTGACCTAATTGGATACTAGATTTACAAACAAAAAACAATAAAGGACATTACTGTAACATTTAGAAAAATTTCTATATAGACTATATATTTGATTATGTTTTGTTGTTAAATACAAGTCAGTTTCAGCTCTGAACCACTGATCTTATGGTTAACAGTCCAGTGAATATCCTAAAGCAACACACCAGCACTCCATATTTGATTACGTTGTTATTGTTGTTAAGTATCGTGGAGTCGGTTCCGACTCATAGTGACTCTGCACAGGGTTTCCGAGGCTGCAAATCTTTACGGGAGCAGAAAAATCTCATCTTTCTACCATGGAAAATCTGGTAGTTTCGAAGTACCGACCTTGAGGCTAGCAGCCCTATTCATAACCACTATACTACAATGTTTTGTATTAATGTTAAACTTCTGAATGAGATAATTCTATTGCAATTATGTAGAAAAATATCTTTGATCTTTAAAATATGGATGATTACATGTTTTGGGGTGAAATTCAACTAATTCTCACCGGGCTTAGAAAAAAATTATATAATAAAATGTGGCAAAACACATTACCATTTGGTGAATCTATGTGAAGTACACGTTCACCATTATTCTCACAAGTACTGATGAAAGACTTTTTATTTGAATCCTATACAGATCTCCATTGAGGGGATGGTTATAATAGCCTTTGGATCCCACTAACAAGGAGCTCTGGTAGCGTAGTGGTTATGAATCGGACTGTGAACCGCACGGTCAGCAGTTTGAAACTACCAGCTGTTCCACAGGACAAAGAGGCCTTGGAAACCCTGTACAGTGTCACTATGAGTCGGAACCGACTCCACGATACATAACAACAACAACAACATTAAAATCAGTGCTGATTCATGGATTACAGAGCTATAATCTTTATGAAAGCAAATCACCACGCCTTTCTTCGGCAGTGTCACTGGATTAAGTTTGAACTGACAACCTTTCATATGTAATCAAGTATAAAACATCTGCAACATCCAGGGGTCTGCCTTTGGATAAGTTACCCTTTAACTGAAAATCAACAAATATTTTCTTTAAAAATTAACTTACTTGACAAGTATATACAGATATACATTCAAGGATGATTCCTGAAGGACAACAAACTGAATGTCCATCAATATGGGATCTTACATTAAGAGGTATTTCTCAAGGATATAGGATGGTCTAAGGCAGTAGTTTTCATGGAGGGGATCTTTTAAGTACGTCTATGCAGCACTAATAGATATAAGATATACCATCTAGCACTACAAGTACGGAAATGCAGCGATGTGAGAAAAACCAGGTTGTGAAATAAATTTGAAAGAGCAAAAAACTGTTACTGTTATTTCCAACTCATGGTATCCTCATGTGTGTCAAGAGTAGGACTGTGCTCCATATGGTTTTCAACAGCCTTTTTTTTTAGAAATAGACTTCAGCACCTGTGAATAGACTTGATCTCCACCTTTTAGGTTAGCAGAGTGCAATAACTGTTTACGCCATAAGGGACTCTTGAATGGACTGAACTGCATCCTGCAAAATATGTGAAAGCCGACTGGACCTCAGTGGTTTGGCAGTTAAGAGTGGGATACATTATCCTTAGCACCACTATTAGGGAATGTGGTGGCTCTACAGGATACTCACTGGACTGCAAATCACAAGGTTGATGGTCCTAGCCTACTAGCCACTCCTCAGGAGAAAGATGAGGCGTTCTACTCCCACAAAAATTTACAGCCTGAGAAACCCTACATAGGATCGCTATGAGTCGGAACCGATTGATGGCACTTAACAACAACAATTGCACCACCACCCCAATCCAATGTATGGGAGATCCCAAAGGGTGTGACATGAAATACCTTTTTTGTTACAAGACCTAAAAGAGATATGAACAGAGACAGAGGGACCCTGTACCATCAAGAAATAAGAGTCAGGAGTAGAGTGCATCTTTTAGGTCTGGGGTCTATGCACTGTGAAGCTCTTAGATCTGGAGGAGGATTACTGCCAAAACACTGAGAGAACTGAAAGGACTGCTGGACCTACACATGGCTGAAATGAAACAAGGACCCTAACTCCAGAACCAGTGCTCTGAATTTGGATTTCTAGACACCTAAAATGTGAGAGAATAAATTTCTATTTGTTAAAGCCATCCCTCTGTGGTATTTCCGCTGCAGTAGCACTAGATAACTAAGACAGACTCCAATAAACTAAGACACATTGTTACAAAACACTGTACACAAAATTGTCTCCAGAGAAAAGCAAATTTGATGCTTGTCATCCCAAGATTAATATTATAAGAGGACGCTCTGGTAGCGTAGTGGTTACGAATCGGGCTGCGAGCCTTAAGGTCAGCGGTTCGAAACTACCAGCCGCTCCGCGGGAGAAAGATGAGGCTTTCTACTCCCGTAAAGATTTACACCCTCGGAAACCCTGTACAGGGTCGCTATGGGTCGGAACCGACTCGACGGCACTTAACAACAAACAACAACAACAACCTCTTTATATATACACACATAAATATATATACATAAATATATACATACAAACACACACACACATTTGTTAAGTGCCGATGTTCGAGGAGCGGCTGGTGAGGCTGAACTGCTGATGTGGTTCAAACCGACTTTGCATTCCAAAGCATTAACCCATAGCACCACACCAGAACTCCATACATGTGTATTTATATGTATGTTGTTGCTGTTGTTGTTAGGTGCCATCGAGTCGGCACTGACTTATAGTGACCTTATGCACAGCAGAACGAAACAATGTCCAATCCTGGGCCAACCTCACTACTGCTGCCACACTTGAGTCCATCAATGCTGCCACCTGGCCAATCCATCTCATTGGGGGTCTTCCTCTTTTTCTCTGACCCTCCATCTTACCAAGCATGATATCCCTCCTGACAATATGTACAAAGTATGAGAGATCAAGTTTGGCCATCTTGGCCTCTAAGGAGCACTCTAACTGCACTTCTTCCAAAAAAGATCTATTGGTTCTTTTGGCAGTCCATGGCACTTTTAGTATTCTCCTCCAACACCATAACTCAAAGGCATCAATTCTTCTACGATCTTCCTTATTCACTGTCCAGTTTTTGCATGCATATGAGGTTACTGAAAATACCATGGCTAAGTCAGGTGCACCTTAGTCCTCAAGCTGACATCTCTGCTCTTCAATACTTTAAAAACTTCCTGTGCAGCAGATTTGCCCAATGCAATACGTCGTCTGATCTCTTGACTGCTGCTTCTGTGAGTGTTGATAGTTGATCCAAGAAGAATGAAGTCCTTGACAACTTCAATCTTTTCTCCATTGATAAAAATGTTGTCTATTGGTCTAGTGGTGAAGGTTTTTGTTTTCTTGACATTGAGATGTAATCCTAACCGAAGGCTGTGCTCTTTGATCTTCATCAGTAAATGTTTTAAGTCCTCTTCACTTTCAGCAAGCAAAGTTGTATCATCTGCATATTGCAGGTTGTTAATGAGTCTTCCTCCAATCCTGACACCACGTTTTTCTTCATAGAACCCAGCTTCTCATATTATTTCCTCAGCATACAGGTTGAATAAGTATGGTGAAAGAATACAACCTTGTTGCACACCTTTCTTAATTTTAAAACATTCAGTGTTCCCATGCTCTGTTCGAACAACTGCTTCTTGGTCCAGGTAGAGATTCCTCATGAGTACCATTAAGCAGTCCAGAATACTCATACTTCACCATGTTGTCCATAGCTTGTCATGATCCACACAATCGAAAGCCTTTGCGTAGTCAATAAAGCACAGATGTTTACAGCTATTTCTCTTCATTTTGAGTTGTGCCCCATCAGCAAAAGAAGGTTCTGTGGGCTTTTCTCCCACGAGCTTAAATCCATTCGCGTCAACTCTACTTTGAGGAGACATCTCTTCCCCAGTCGCATTTTGAGTGCCTTCCAACCTGAGGGGCTTATTTTCCAGCACTGTATCTGACAGTGTTTCTCTGCTATTCATAAAGTTTTCAGTGACTAAAGATTCAGAAGTAGTTTGTCACTCTTTCTTCCTAGTCTGTCTTTGCCTAGAAGCTCATCTTAAATTACCGGTGGCATAGCCCTCAGAATCACAGCAACTCACAAGCCACCACCATACAACACACAGACGAGTTGTGGCCGTTTGGTTTTATGTCAAAACTGTCACTTTAAATTTTGAGATCTGTGTGCATGCGTAGTAGAACCCTCCAGGGGTGGGGGTGGGGTATCTATTCGTTCAGATATCCCCTCTAGTTAACCAGAATAGAGGTGCGCAGTCAGGGAGAGAACAACGAACAATGGACAGACATCAAAAAAATGAATGTCCATACCTGTATCTGCTCGGTTCTGTCAGGTGTTTGGGGCTGTTCTGATCCTTCCCCTACTTGTTTTCCTCCAAGATGGTGGCTCTGGGAATAGCTGAGTGCCTTGAATTGGAAAGCAATGGATTTCTTGATTCTCTTACAAATTTCCCTAGCTGTAAGCCTTCCAATCTTCTAAACATACCTTTGTATGTGGTTCAAAGTTCTAGCACCATCCCCTGAGCCTGTTTGGCCTGGTATTCTGTGTTATTGGTGACGGAGCTCCTCACTGCATGTCTACATGATCCACCATCTTGATTGTATCCATTTATACCTTCATATGTATACACACACATAAAGAGCACTGGTTGCATAATGGTTAAGCGCTCAGCTGCTAACTGAAAGGTCAATGATGATTCCAACCCTACCAGTGGCTGAAAAAGAAAAACACCTAACAATCTGGATTCCTTATTGTTTTTGCTGTTAAGTGCTGTTGAGTCAGTTCCAACTCATAGCAACCCTGTATAGGGTTTCCAAGGAGCAGCTGGTGGGTTTGATCCGCCGACCTTGCAATTCAAACAAACCTTGTGATCCAGTGCCTATTCTACCCTAGGAAATTCTGTAGGGCCAGTTCTACATATTCGGACTCCTGGTGTGGTGCTATGGGTTAATGCGAGGAACTGCAAAGTTGGTTTGAACCACAATGTCGGCTCTTCAAGGTCACCAGCCGCTCCTAGGTAACTACACATGGTCACTATAGGTCAGAACTGACTCAATAGCACATAGTAAATTCTATGTTCTGTCATGTTTGGTCATTACAAATTAGAATCAACTCAGTGGCAAACAGCATGTCTATGCACACATGTACACACAGGAAAAAAGAAAAACAATACATTGAATATCTGATGCTAAGGAAAGATTCTAGCCTGCACTTTCTGAGAACAGAGTATAAAAACCTATGCCTAATTATTTGTTTTCTGTATACAAAGGTGTATGTATATATATATATACACACACATAGATATATATAGATATACACACACACACACACATATATACCTTAATACTACAAAATCTGAAAGGACTAAGACTTAACAACAACCCTTGTTGTTAAGTGCCACTGAATTGGCTCTGACTCAGTGACGTTGTATCCGGTTTCTAAGGAGTAGCTGGTGAGCTTGAACCACTGACCTTGCAGTTCAAACAGACTTTATAGTCTGGTGCTTATTCTATAGCACCACACCACATTCCAATTATTCTCTAGAATTTCTAAAATTATTTTCCTATTTTAGTGTTTCACTCTTTCATTTTTCTCCAGTGATTTGTGGTGTGTAATTTAAAAAATTAAACAAATCAAACAAAAAGGTATCATCGAAGATAATGAGAGGCTAAAACAATCATGTCTTACCCAAATTATTCTCCAGGACAGCCTTTTCGCCTTCTAATTTTGTTTTTCCATATAAATTTAGGGGATTTGCAATGTCTTCCTCTCTATAAGGTGGATCTGTACCATCAAATACATAATCTGAGCTAATGTAGATTAAAAATGCTCCAATTGCAGCTATACAGAGACAAAAACAAAAATTATTACTTGGCATTACTTTTTAAAGGAAGTTAGAAAGGTTTATTCTTCATGATATATATGTGTATATATAACTTCTTTAAACAATCTATAAAAGGTTAATCTTTTAAAAGTCTATTTTATGAAGGTTTTATAAAGTTATCATTACCTGCTTCCTTTGCTAAGTTCCCAGAAGCATCCACATTAAGTTGAGAAGCAGCATCTGGCTGACTTTCTACAACATCTGGCCTTCTCTCTGCTGCACAATGCACTATGACATGGGGCTGGAAGTTAAGCATTATGCATTTTTAACCCAAAAAGGAATAAAACAGAACAAACTATAGCCTTTTAAGAATAAACTCCATGAAAAATATCTGCCAACAAAGCTCTTTATGTCAACAACTGTATTTCCACATCAAAATAAGCTCTGCTCCCTAATTTAGATGGGCAAATAAAACTATCTCTTGTGCAATTAATATGGACTATTTTAAAAATCTGTGTAAAAAGTAGAGAAACACCAACTAAAAATTAAATGTATATTCAGTTATCTTTGACCAATCATTTAAAAACATCAACAATCCATGCAAATTATATTCCCAGTCGACTATTTAGCATGCTATCTATATTACAGAACATGTTCTAAAAGCAAGGATCTCATAAACAGTGAAAAATGGTGGTGGTGGTTGTGTGCCATTGAGTCAGTTCTGACTCATAGTAACCCTGTATAGGTTTCCAAGGCTGTAAATCTTTAAGGGAGCAAAGGGTCTCATCTTTCTCATCAAGCTGCTGGTAGACTAAAATTGTTGACCTTGTGGTTGATAGCCCCAAACGCAGCCCACTATATATTGCCAGGGCTCCTTAAAAAGAAAATACAGAAATGTAAAGAGACTGTTTCAATACAATGTGATAGAAGTTAAACTAGAGAACTGCAGAGCAGGGCTCTAAATCCTATCACCTGATCTTGAATCTTATTAAAAGTAGATTATGATTCATTTTACCTAGGATGGAAAGGCAAATTCTCAATAGGGAATTGAACCAGAATGAACTAGTTCTAAGTCCTGCTGCAGAGGGTCCCTTGTAGAAAAAAAGGGCAGTGCCACTAGAGGGGAGCTGAACACCAGAGGTAAGATTTGAGATGAGCAGAGATGAAAAGGGCTAGTATACTCACATCCCAAACTCTCTCATTCTCAACAATACTTGAGGAAGTAGGCTCTGAGAGTTGTTTTCACACCTGAAAGATCATAATCTGGGATGCTTTTTAAAATATTGAATCTTGGCCTCATCACAGACTTACTGAATTAAATCTCTTGGGGTAAAGCCAAGAAGGTCCTTAAATTGACTCTGATACAGTACTCCTTGGATATCACTTAGATTTCACTAGAAATGGATCCGAACCTAACAAAATAGTGTTATTTAACCTCTCTGAATTGGCTTTCTCTGATTTAAAATGGAAATGATAATACATATTCTGCAGTGTGTAGCACTGTAATAGGATCAACAATGGACTTTGAATTACAAGACTGGCAGTTCAAACCCACCATCTGCTCCTTGGAAACCCCATACAGGGTTGCTATGAGTTAGAACCGACTGCATGGCACTAACAACAATTCTGCAGTGTTGTACGGTATACAGCTTAAAATTCAAAAAGTATTTGCATAGAAAGTGGTATTTTAAAGAAAGTCCATAAACATTAACTTTTCATAACACATATCATATTTCAGTTATTTTTCAACTTATTATCTCAAATCATTTAAGGAAGTGTACACAACAGTAACTTGCTATTCAAAAAAAAAAGGTGCATTATATTAATGTGCTTCAAAAAGCTAATGGACACCAGCAACAACAGCAGAGATCAAACAAGTAGAGGACAATAAATGCTGGTGAGGATGTGGAGAGACTGGGATCCTCCTACAATGTAATGCTTCCTCAGAAAAATGGAAATAGAAATACCTTATGATCCAGCAATTCCTCTACTTGGTATTTATCCACAAGAAATATGAGCCACAACACGAGTAGATACATGCACATCAATGTTCATAGGAGCACTATTTACAACAGCAAAAAGATGGAGACAACCTAAGTGCCCATCAATGGAAGAATGGATAAATAAACTTTGGTAAATACACACAATGGAATATTATGCTACCTTGAAGAATAACAATGAAGCTGCAAGCCACTGCATAACATTGAGGAACCTTGAGGACATTATGCTGAGTGAAATTAGTCAGTCACAAAAGGAGAAATACTGCAAAGGACCAATATTATAAAAGATTAAGAAAAAGTACCCACACTAAAAGGTGGGAAAAAAAATCTTTGCTGGTTACTGGAATGTATGGGGTAGGGTGAGAGGAGAGAGAGGAAGATGGAGCACAGGGTAGGGAATAGACACAGGATAGTTTGGGTGCTAGGGAGGGGTGGCAATACACAAGATGGGGGAGGGGAATGGAAGAACAAGGCAGAAGGAAGAACAGTTAGGTAGGTTTACATGGGCTAAGTGGGACAGAGGTAAATAATGATGTATGCACAACCTTGAAACAACAGGGCTCTGGGATAGAGGAATTGAGGCATGGATTCATGGGTAAAAGAGGGGAAATAATGCTAAGATGCTTGACCATCTTTTGAATCTTGGTTTCCCTTGCCTACTATTGTAAAATAGACACTTGAGGGGGAAAGAAAGGAATAGCCAGAAACATCACCATAGAATTATTGTAAGTCCATTTTGCCTATAACTTATTGTTGTTGTTTTAAGCACTGTCTAGTTGGTTCCAACCCATAGCGACCCTGTATAAGGCTTCCAAAGAGCAGCTGGTGAGCTTGAACCACCGGCCTTGCAATTCAAACGACTTTGTAGTCTGACACACCATAGCACCACACCTAAAATGAGGCTAGAACTTGCCCAGTGATGGAGGCTTCCCGCAGAGCCTCTGCGTCGCATAAGACCATAGGTGGAATCCCGATCCCCAACCAGAATCTTCTGAGGTGGGAAATTTCCACGTGAAAGGACAAGCAGACCAGCCTGGTGCGGCTAGAACAGAAGATACTTCTTGAAAGAAAGACCAGCAGGAAATGTCAAAAACATAACTGCAGTCCAACTGACTACTACAAGAACAAGCAAATCATTCACCCAGGAGCAATTAGGCAAGTGGCTGGGTCCCCTCAGGGCAAACCCCCTTCCAAGACTGAGACTAAAGGGGAATACATGAGCAGGCATGTGGTCTTGCTGGTGACCATACTGGTCACCAATAAGGGGAAGTGGGGGAAAAACAGCAATGAAGTTGTGAGCTAGGTCCAACTATGTTCAATAGACTCCATTTAACCCAGGTTGAGACCTGGTTGGCCAGCAGTATGGCAAGACCTGAGGACTCCTGGGCCCAGAGACAGGGACATGGCCACAGAGGACTAGAGCAGAGAGTGAAGCATCCATTTCATATGAAGTGAAGGGAGATGCACAAGAATACCCATACTTGAAGATAGTACCCACTTGACCTGGCTTCGATGGCTGGATGATCAGAACTCGACTAGAAGAAGAAAGAAGACGGAAAAAAAAAAAAGAGTAATCTGCTACAATTTGATGAATTTGATGTATACTTATGGATGTAGTAGCTCAAAAGAGGAGACAAATCATTACAGAAAGGATCATTCCCACCCCCTCAGTACACAGGGTCGACAGGGATGGGCAACTTGGACATTAGCTACCCAAAATGGAGGGGCTATGAAGGCAAGAAGTGACTGGCTTACAAGCTTTCAAGAGGGAGCCTAGTTCCAGAGGGTGCAGGGGAAGGTATAATTTCCACTGAGTGGTTTCTACTCTGTCTGGACGTGGCTGATGAAAGGAGATGGGGATAAGACTCTTGTGGTTCAATAGTGAATAACTGTTATCAGGACTGACTGTGAGTGTTGGAAATGTAAAGGTAGACGTTTTGTAACAAAAGGAGAGGTGTGGTTGATTTTGCAGTCCAGGAGCGGAGGTCCCTGAGACAAACAAACAAGGGAGAAGAGCAGAGTGCAGGACCCTATCCAGGAAAGCAGTGACACCAGAGATGGAGGCACAGAGGACATGGAAAGATGCAGCAGCTGGGGACTCTGGACTCAGGGAAGGAGAGGGGCTGTGTGCTTATGGCCGGGGAGGCAGGCTTTGGTTGTTTGATGATGCATGGAGGGGATTGTAATCATTGCAATGAAACGAAATATGATAGGATGAATGTAAAGCTAAAGTTCTTCCCTGTAAACTATTAATTCACAATAAAAACTTTTTTTAAAAAGCTAATGTATAAAACGGAATTAAAAGATAATTATATTTTTCCACAAACTTTTTGAAGCCCCCTCGTATATTGTTGCTACTTCATAGAATAAGAACTTTTATGAGTACCTTCATGAAACCAAGAACATTTTCTGTATCATGCAGACATTTTTAACATAGCTCATATATTAAAATGTATGTGTTAAAACAAACAGACTAAACCATACCTGAAAATCATGAATGATCTGATGAACTGCATCAGAATCCAATAAATTAACCTGTTCAAATTTTGGTCTTGCTCTTCTAAAACCACAGCCAACAGCATGCCAATTATTGTGCTGAAATTCTTTGTATACAGCTCTGCCAAGAAGCCCAGTGGCACCAGTAATCAGAACCCGCCTACTGGGAATGTTAACTTCCTCCTGAAAAATGAAGAGAGGGAGAGGAGATTATACAGAAAGGGTTAGAGAGATGGAAATATTGAGCCTTCAGAAATACAGAGCCCTTGTTAAGTGTCATCAAGTTGGTTTCAACTCATAGTGACCCTGCATAGGGTTTCCAACGAGCAACTGATGGGTTTGAACCACCAACATTTCAGTTAGCATTCCAATGCTTACCTTACAGCTTGCAATGCATATTATGTCAAACAATTGCTTCACATTCTGCTATATTTGTTTAATATAGCTTCCTAAGATTTTGTGGAGTCCTGGTGTGGCACTGTGGGTTAATGAGCCTGACTGCAAAGCTATTTGAACTGCAAGGTCGGTGATTCAAACTCATCAGCCGCTCCTTGGAAACCTTAGACAGGGTCACTATGGGTCGGAACCTACTTGATGGCACTTAACAACAACAACAAGATTTTGCAGCAATACTTTTTTTTTGGTAGCAATACTGTTTATCTTCACATTCTGATTTTTGTTATTATTGTTAAGTGCTGAGTAAATCCCGATTCATAGCAACCCTGTACAGGATTTCAGAGGAGCGGTTGGTGGATTTGAACTGCTGACTTTACTGTTCAAACCAACTGACATTTCTAGTCTACAGTTTTTAATTAATTTTGAATTCTATTTCAAATTTCAACACTTATCAAATTTTGATAGGCTCAAATTAAAGAATTAGTTAACATTTCACAGGATCTTTTTCGTTTTGTTGTTTAGTGCCATAAAGTCGGTTTTGACTCATAGTGACCCTGTATAGGGTTTCTGAGGAACAGCTTATGGATTTGAACTGCCAACCTTGCAGTTCAAACCAACCTTACTGTTCAGTGATTATCCTATAGAGCCACACCAGGACTCTTCACAGGATTTTAAAAGAAGGTAATTTTAGTCCTTGCAGCATTAACACACTTTCTAAATTTTACCAACAGAAAATGTTCCTGAGCCAACACCAGATTACCTATGTTGTTGTTATGTGCCGTGGAGTCGGTTCCGAGGCTGTAAATCTTTACGGGAGCAGAAAGCCTCATCTTTCTCCGGCAGAACAGCTGGTAGTTTTGAACCGCTGACCTTGCGGTTTACAGCCCGATTCATAACCACTACGCTACCAGAGCACCTTAGATTTACCTATACAGAACAGTTAAAATCAAGAAACACAAATAGTGTTCTTAAAAAAAAA